AACAACGCACCCTTACCTCCCACATATTCCCTCGGCAGTGTGAAGGCAAACAACTACTCATTTACCCTTGTACTATTCAATAAAACACACACACACACACACACACACACACACACACACACAGAGATACACACACACATCAGAAGACAAATACTGGAGATGATTCTGTCGAAGAAGCTGCATCTCTGTTCCTTCAACACCCCCGTTCCCTGAGCATTACCCATCATTCTCAGAGGCGACAGGCGAAGAGGGTGAGGGAGAGATACATGCTAAGTGAAACGGGAAATAAAGGAGTGAAGTCGAGGAGTGGGAGATGTGACAGCAAAAAGGGAGACTAGTTAGAAGAGAAGGAAGATGATAGGGGAGTGCCACATTTGCTCGTTGCCCCGCACCAGGAGCCAGGCCTCTGGAGGACAACACACATGCATGGCAGCTTCTGGTCCATGGTGGCACAACACAAAACACCACAAGGGAGGGATAAGACCGAGTAAAAAAGAAAAATGAAAAAGAGGGAGGCTAGAAGATTTAAATGATAGAAGAGATAATAAGATCATACTGTGACAAGGGAGTGGAATTACAGCGTGAGGGATCGCAGAAGAAGAAAACGTGATGTGGAACATGATGCTCCCAGAAGCCATTGCGGTGGGTCTTTAATGCTGTGACACAAGCAGGGACATTCAGGGTGGGCAAGCAGGCTAAGCTGCCTTGAACATAGATTAGTGCAGAGCCAAAGGAACAGTGAGCCATGTTAACAACACAGAGTTGCTTCTGTGGTGCATCCGAGGGTTTTAAAAACCTTACCCGCTAATACAATGTTGATATTAAGCGACTTCTACTGTAGATGTAGCACGTAATTATATGTGTATTAACACACAGATTAGGATATAAAGGAGGAAACTATGCAGAAAAAGGTTATATGGGAATATGTGGGAATCAGCACAGACAGAGGAGGCAGGGAGCTTTAGCGGGGATAAACCTTTGGGAAACACGTTGATGATTGTGGTTCATGTTATTTCCTTGTTGATTAGCGTTGGCAATACACTGGTGTGTGGGCTGCCATGTCAGCTTATTGTCATACACACATGGCTTGGGATGTTTTGTGACACAATAATAAGCTGGAATAGGAGGAGAGGCTAATTTAAGCAGTTGAGCAAATGCACACATCAGGAAACGGGGCCATGGTAAAGTTGGTTCATTGGTAAGGAAATACATTTCCCCTGCCGTTCCAAAGCAACATATTCAAAATGTATCTAAAAGGCATGTGGTTTGAAAGGGAAGAGTTTGTTTTGAGAAGTAACCACTGTGTTTGTGCATTTGTGATCACATCGATACTGCAGTGTTTTTTATAAGCCTGTACGTAGCTGTATGCAAGTGTGTAGAGTAATTAAGTCATTTTATAATAAATTACTCAGAAAATACTTAAGTTCCATTTTTGGAACTAACAACAAAAGCTAAATAAACCACTTCAGCATTAATCGAAATAAGACGTCATTTCTGTGACACAGGTAGCGTAATACAGATACACTCTTGTTTTTATTTTGTCATTTCGGTTCAGAGAGGTTGCCACACTCTCCAGGTTGTGAGAGAAGGAGAGAAGGTGACCCTGTGCTGCTGCTAACTGAGTCAAATATTGTGCATTGAAAAACTATACAATGTCCTGATTGTAGCAAATCATGTGCCAATTTTTTCATAGGAAATATTTACCTATACCCTTTAAGTGTGAATCGGTGATGTCAAAGCTGGCTGCTGCCTACAGACCTGGGACATGACATGGCAAATCGTCAAACCTGCTCCGTCTTTTTCCAAGGAGAACATCTGTGTTGTTAACTGGAAGCTAACATCCAGGGCTGCTTTGAAGTATGTGTGCAGCACAACCAATATAGACATACTGCCAAGATGGCTCTCTGCTTTCCTTTAAAAACTTGAAACTTGACTTTCAGGGAACGCATACAAACAACTTCATGGATTATTTAATTCCTTTATAGATTATTGTATTCAAGTGGATGAAAATGTAAGGTTTAATCTAGATTTAGATTTTTTTTTTATTTTATTTTTTTTTATTTATTTGGTTTTATTATATTATATTTATGGTCTCATTTTACTTGTCTTTATTTTTTAGGTTATTATTTGTTTCATTAGTTCCGTATACTTGATCTGCAGTTTAAATCTACATAACACATGTACAAGTTTAAGTGCAATTGTTTTATAAATGTTGGATAATGTTGAAATTCCAAGATGCAAAGTTTAAAAAAAAAAAAAGTTGTTACATTTATTTCTTTTAAACTAATAAAAAGGTATGGATATAATGTGCAGGTTGTCAATCATCTGCTCTCGCTGTATCACAGCAGCCAACAGACAAATGAAGAGGAAAACCTACAAGGTCAAATCCTCTCAACAGAGTCCAGTAGAAGAGCCTCACACGTGTCGAAGAGTAAGGTAACAAGGTACAGCTGCAACCCTAAAAACAAAAATGTTTGCTGGCGCAACACTTGTCAGATGACTGAGTGAGCACTGCAAAGTGCTAATACCAGAATCTACACCCAGCTTCTGCCTCTTTTCTGCACAGCAGCTACCTTTTATGACCTTCTCTGAGCCTCCTCCTTGTTCCCTCACTACCCTCTGTAGTAGTCTGCTGTGAAGACAGGGCTGAGGCTCAGTAATTTGGAGTCAGAGATAAGGGCAGACGGGGGATATTACTTGTGGGTAGACAGTGATTGAATTGGCTCCAGAGGGTCAAACACACCTAAATGACAACTCGGCAGAAACCCAGAATCCATTTATTTAAGTCATGGGTAGCCTCAAACGAAGGGGCCTGAAATGGTGGCTTAATGTAGGCGGAAGCGATGATGAAATGCTTCGAAGCAGAGCTGCAGGGGAAAGCAGGCTGGATTACTAAAGGACGCCGAGGCTTGCATGTCTCTTGTTGATCATTTGAACCTTATTTATGTGAAGGAATGGACACACAAAACTACACTGAAATTGGACTGAAAACAGAGAAATATACTGAAAAGAAACTAGAATGACAGGAGAGCTGTTAAATTATTCTTTCAACCTGTTGTATGTGTGCATTTTGAATTGGAACAAAAACCAACCTGAATAGAAACATCCTAAATGTCTCCTTTCTCTTGGCTGAGGCTTATACACCAAAGCTGCTACATCAATAAAACAATCTGCAAAATATCCAATGGAAACAAAATTAGCAAATGAAACATGATGCATATGAGACATGTGACATGGAAAACACTTTCTTAAAATACTGCAGGGAACTAAGTATAATGTAATTTTTATGCTGTGTTTAGTTTTCATCTATGTTTTTGACTTCCACTCCTTTTGATACTCTTTAATGGTAAAGGCACCCACTTGAATTAGCATTTGAATTAGCTGCTCATCCTCATGCACACAACTCCTCACATTTGAATAATGTATAGAGGGCATATATTCTAGTTTCTTAAGATGGTTTTCTTGAAATATTGGATGCAAACTTGGCACTAGGTTAAAATACAGGAATGAAACTTGTAGCGTAGTGTCTTATTTCCCATGGGTTTTATATTATCTTTCCAAATGTGGCTAAGAGTTTTCACCTCTACTTTCAGCTCCTTTTTGGTCTCACCACATTATTAGGGAAATATTTCTATGTGCATGCTCTACTTTATTCACCAGTTATACACTAACTACAGTAGTGGAGGTAGCACACAGTGGGTTTCCTCTAAATCCTTCTGCCTCAATTGATAAAAAACAAGGTTGATGAAAGTCCAGTGAACCAAAAAGAGCAAAGTTGCAGGGCAGAAAACAGAAAACAACGTGCTTAAAGAAACTAACATGCTGCATAGACCTGGAGGTTAAAGGGATACTTCACCCATTTTCCCCTGAGATGGGAAATCTTTGTGTTTCTTAGTCTCAAAGGGATTAGCGGCGTGAAACTACAACGCTAGTTCCTCATATTTTCGACCACTGAAGCTACAGACCCATCACAGATCAGTGGGTGGGAACTCACTCCCAGATTCGAAACTTAACGTCCGCCATATTGCTTGGAAGCTATGCTAACAGGCTCTATGGAGAAAGCTGATAATGGCGAAAAATTATAAATATAGCGGCGAGATGGCTGCTGCCGACAGGCCGCTTTTGTGTCTTCGCTGCTGCCGCCGCTGTCCGCTGCTGACTGCTGGCCGCCGCTGCCCTGTCGGCAGCAACCGTCTCGCGGCTATATTGCTAGCCGCCACTGACCAATGGCCGCCGGGGCCGCCACTGTGCACCACTGGCCGCAGAAGCCAAGAAACAAAACCAGACTGTCGGCTGCAACCGTCTCGCAGCTATATTGCTATATTGTTGGCCGCCGAGGCCGTCAGATTTCTACTACATATATGACCCAATGTCAATAAAGATTCATGTTTCAATGGGTGAAGTATCCCTTTAAGCCTTTCTTTTTAGCTTATCTTCATGAGAAACAGATTTTTACACATATTGCAAATATAAAGATTAGACAGAGCAGCTTTAAACACATTTGTCCTTGAATTCTGCTTGTCTGTCAGCTCATCAGTATGTGTGTCTGGCTTGTTATTCTTTGCACGCAAGGCAACATTTCATACACAATGATATCCTCCGCTTTTTTGCCTGACTGAGAGCGTTCTTTGAAATGCAGTGGCTGAGTTTGACACAGTTCAGTAGGTGACACCTGGAGCCAGATGACTCTAGTCAATGGGTTTAAAAAACAAAGACACTGCAGCTCTGATCAAACCCCCGGAGATTCCTCCTGAGCCCTTTGGCATCTCTGCTGCTTTGTGTGTCTGCGTGTGTTCGAGTGTACTGCATGCTCGGCTGGAGAATATGCCTCTTTTACATGAAAAATGCACACATGAGTGGCGCCAGAAGTAACCAATAAGCACACCAAAAAAAAAATAATCCCAAAACAAGGCAGCATCTTAAGCATGATCTGGAATAGACTGGGACTCTCATCCCTGAAAAAAAAATCAACCGATGTAGTCTGCATGTTTGATAGTTACCCAGCGGTGAAGACGTGATTGACGTGGCTGCAGGATCGGAGCCTCCCTGGAATTGGGCCAACGCTTCTGTGGCTGCCCAGCGCTGGCGGAGGGGGAGACGGGTTGGGGGAGGTCTGGATGTGGAGTAACAGCAGCAGTAATAGCCACTAGCTCACACTGCAGGCAAACCTACAACACAGGAAACAGGGTCAGAAACTCCTCCCTAGAGGACCAAAGGAGATTCGATAAGAGGCACAAAAAAAAAAGGCACACGCCGTTTAACAGCTGTCTATTTGGAGCTTAATCTTTTATTGGCGCTGGGCTAAATGCCAGAGACCTGGTGCTTCCTCAGCCCCCCCTCTCCTTACAAGCCCAATGACATTCAGACCTTTGAGCAAAGCGGTAACAGCAGGGGTTTTAAAACGCAGTGACACCGGACATAAAGTAAAGGTTTCACCAAACCTTTGAGTGAGATAGCGAAGTAGGGCGGCCAGGCTCTAACTCAGCAAACCTCTGTGACTCTGGCCTGCTTGTCGGGCTGTTTATTATCAGCAGACAGCACACTCGGGGCCTGGAATATAGGACTGCTGAGACACTGGGTGCTGGCCGCCGGGGAAGGAACACGGAGAGAGGGGATGCAGGCGGAATGCCAATGAGTGTCCCCTCTCCTCCCTGAGATTTTAGATGCTACACTGGCACAACACTTCCCCTGCAAAGCATCTCTATCCCGGCCTTAGGTTTGATAGCAATGTTAGCGGCTACAAGAGCCTTTTCTCTGATTCCAAGCCTCAAATCCTGAGCATTAACCAACACTTATAACCGCATTAATCTGCTTTGATACGGCCCAAGCAGGCAGCTTGCAGTGAAGACGGAGAAGAGCCCGGCTTGGAAAAGAGGGCTCCAAAAAATAAAAGGGACACATTTTGCATAAGTTTGTCAGCAAACAGGTTGGCTTAGAGGTGTGTCACAATTCCAATAAATCCAGTCGAGATGCAGTGCAGAGGTTGGCAGGAAAAAAGAGAGCAATCCCTAACAGTTCAAAACAGATATAAAAGTTTAATGCCATGCTGGCAGCAAGCAGCCAACAGAAAAGGGAATGGGCTGAACTATTTTCAGAGAAGAAGGTGGCATTCATAATTCACATTATAGTTTTTTATGAGGAAATAGAAGATTCTTCATACTTGTTGTCTTCATCTTCCTATCTGTTAAACTTTTACAGTATTTCTGGATGAGCTGCAGCCACTGTGGACTCGTTCTGAAAGGTGTGACTGTATGTTTGTTTACGTTTGTGTGAATGACAGAATATTTCACCGGTTTAATGCACTCAATATGCAAACTTTCGGTGTGACATCCCACGAGATGTCAAAATAAAACCAAGACGAACCCCGAGGTCGTTTCCCGACATCTGCAAGAGACAGTTTTCAAAACAGACAGGCAGAATCCTTCACAACACACATTTCAGACTCTTTAAATGAAATCTGCCCGTTCACAGCTCATAACAAGATGTAATATTATGAGGGCAGTAAATGTGATCAAAGGTTTCCATAGATATTTATATTAGTTCTAGCTGGACCACCGACAGTGAGGAAACAGCAGGGAGCAAAGGAGAACAAGAATTAATGGATAAGACAGTCTGATACAAAACGTAAAATACAGACAGACGTGCTCAAAAGGCCAGACAATGTGAGAAACACAAAACTACATAACCCAAATATGACACTGATATATGTTGATCCATTGTTAAGACAGTGAAAAGAGAAGTTAATCAAGAACATATAAATAAATGACTACATTTTACAGATACACTTGTAGAAAGCTGCAACATGCAGATCCAAATGTGTCAATGAACTTAAACTAAACTGTGTTTCACCAAACAAATGTAATTTCATACAAGCAGCTAAGCTTGATGGAAACACACATGAGATTGTTATGCCATAACCACAGTTGGGGCAATAGCAGCGACCTAAAAATAAATGTCCTCTTTATCTAATTAGACATTAAACCACAAAGAATCTCTGAGCTCACTGCTGCACTGGAGACAGAAAACAGCACTAATGCTGCATGTGGAAGACGTTTATGCGAGTTCAAGGCAAGTTTAATGACGTGGCCCGCTCCATCAGTGTACTTTCTATGAATGAAAATGAACAATGAAATGTTCAAAGGTAATCTCTGATCATTTTGTAATTGGATCTATAAAGGTTTAAAATGTTGCAAATTAAACCTAATGACATAATTGGTCAGGTTCTGGCGGATGACGCAAGTGAGATCAGTAGCCGTGACAAAGCATAGTTTTCTTCAAGCTCTCAATTATCTGGAGGTGAAATATAGGCCTCGTAATACTAGGCGCATGAACACATATTTCACATTTTCTACAGTAGCCGGGAGAGTTTTCGGGCACAACTTAACCAACTACCAAGGTGCATGGAGAATGAAAGACTTGTAGTGTAAAGATCAACTCCATTTGACCGCTGCATTTCGCCTTGTGGCCTGGATGAGCCTGATGAAGGCCACAAGCTAAAATGTGTTGGTCTAATAAAGTTGCTAAAGTTGATCTTTATACTGCAAGTGTTGCTGGGCTTTTTGGCCTGTTCTAGAGTAGCAAGCTAGCTTAAAAACTGCAAGGCAAATGAATCCCCACCCTGTTTCTAACGGTCACAACAAATAATGCATGTCAACTGATTCCATTAACAACACAGTTAACTCAAGTGTAAGCATTAGGACTGCTTTCCAAACCAATCTATACATTCCTACAGTCATGCAGGAAAGTCGTCATCAATACAATGATGAGAAAGGTAATATAATGATGAGAAATGAAACCCTATTAGTATATGTGCTCAGGACTGGTTTTGTGCCCTGACGTGTTTAATGAATGAGCCAAAGAAATATGACCAACTGAAGCTTGCTTTAGATGGAAACTATGGATACAAGGTCTCCTAGCTTTATGTGCACAAAGCTAGTGGAACAGCTGCTAACCTACATGTAGCATGACTTAAACACTATGTGTTAAGAATTTATCATATAAAGCTTTCTAAGCTTTTTACCTGTGGTTGCTTTCAACAGCTACTCACAGTTGTAGGAAACAACCCCAAGTGGTTGAGTATTTCATTCATTCATAATAGGCCTACCCTACTAACCCAAGTAAGGAGGTTGTTTGAGATATAAACCTGCATCATGTCATCAGTATTTAATGAGTAATTCATTAATATTATGGGATGTATTTTTAAAATTAAACTTAACAATACTCAACATGAAACCTGTCTGTGTTTCATCAAACAGGGTTAAATCTTATTTAAACGTGCCTTCATGTCATCCTTTTGTGAATGTTGCATTTTACAGTGTCTTTCCATTTCTCTGCATAATTAAAGAACCTGGTTAGATGTTTTTTTTGTACTGTTGTTTGGAACTGGGACAGCAGCACAGCGCTGGATATTATGAATTGATAGTTCAAAAGCTCAGGAGAGCCAGAAGAGGACCCTCAAGCACCTTGTGAAATTATTAGGCACAAACTCATTTTTATGTGTACAGTAAGTTTTCGTCGTGTGCCAGAAAAGCCTGCACGGGTGGCTCTATCATTCTTTTATCATAGTAGTGGTTAGGCCACAGTGATCAGTCTAAAACTGTCCATTGGGACACAGACAGACTGTTGGCTTTCATCCATGATTATCATGATGTTGGACAAAATAAAAAAAGACCCTTGATGATGTACAGTACACCAACCTCTTTAACTAAATATGATATTTTATGATGTGTGGACATTGTCTGATTGCATGTATTATTTAATTATGTTGTAATTATTTATTTTTCAAACAAACATATGCTTCAGGAGATTAAGCTAGCCCATATAGAAGCCCCACGTAGGCATATGTAAATTCTATATAATCAGTTTCCTGTGATAACAGGTTATTTCTTTTTAGGTTTTTTTCATAATCCTGACCTCGTTTCATTGCAAAAGCACAAACAAACATAGAATTGGCTTATCATTTTGTTTTCTAGATCACCAGAAAATAATTTTGTTTTCGCAAGAGACCCAGCATAGCAACAACGAGGAATCTACGAGAGCTCCCAGGAAAATATGTGGTTAATCCATTATAATGGGGAAACCAGCTTTGATTTTTCCAAAATTAACGGGAAAAATAAGTCAAGATTTCAAGAAAACAGAAACTAGACTACTTATTATCACAGGGAAATTGAGTAGGCCTAAATAAAATGGATGCATGTTGGCTTAGGGCTTCCATAAGCGAACATATCATATCCATGATATAAATATACTGACAGGCGGTTAGACTAAAAGGCAGCAAGACGCAATGATGGTCAGATTTTATCTGCAGCTCCATCTTTTAAAGCAGACAACACAACACTGACACTAACATGAAGTATCACTGAATACCAACAATCCCCTTCCTGTTTCTTCTTCACTTCCCTCGTGGCTACCCACTGACCCTGAGTGTTACGGCGCCTCAAACAACAACATTTCAAACGAGATCCAATCTGTACGGGCTTTTACAGAGGACACCAGGTTGTCAAAGCATCACTCTCCATGGTGGATAAGGGCCACTCATTGCCCTGAGCAATTCTCACACATCCTCCTGCCAGCTTCCCCTGCCAGCATAGCAGTTTAGTCATATGGAGCAGAGGCCGCTTGTCAATTTAAATAGGACAGTACACTGAAGAGCACTTCAACCACAATACGCAATTCATCATCCACAGTGTTAACCTCCCCCCCATCACGTTCATGCTGGCCGGAAATGAAGTATTTTGTCACTAGAAATGAGAGTGCACTCATTCAGAAAAGTCTCAGTTATGTTCCAGGGGCATGAAATAGCTTTTGATGAGAGTTGTACGTTACGGGTTGCATTGACTAAATTGAATCAAACTTATCTGCACAGACTCCAGATTAAAATCAGAGCTGCTGTTCTATTGACAGGGAAAGAGTATCTACACACAAGAGAAACCCAAGACACACACAAGTAATGAAGACATGTTTACACCTGGAGTTCAAAAGGTTGCAGGCTATTCCCTGAGAATAATGTAGAATCTGAAGAGGGGGAGTGACACTATTCATCTTAAAGTGGGAGAGGGAGAAGGAAAAGAAAATACCTGCAAAACAGATAATTAGAAATAGAGAAGATAGACAGGTTACCTAAGTTAGTTCAGTAGGGTAAATCTGTAGGCCTACCTTCAAATAGGTT